AAACTGAGCATAAACATCATTAGGGATACAACTCATACAAGCTTGATATAAAGGACCGAAAATAGGTTTATTTATGTCCCTGTTTTGTTACCCCACGAAAGTATAACATCGAAAATCACATCCAAAAATTTTCTATCTCTATTCTTTAGTTAATATCTTTTTTCCTGTTGTGTATGTTTTACTCTTTTTTCTGCAGCACGATAAAATTATCTAATATATTTATTGATTTATAAAGGGGGAAATTGGTATTTGAATCACCAATTATCCTCCCTTTATATATATAAAGGGAAATTAGTGGAATTCCTATATGCATAGAAAAATTAACACGTGACATATTATAAAAATATAAAAAGTTAACATGTGTCATAATATAAGTATCGACATACATCTTTATCCTATTGGAAGATGACATATGGACACGTGTCATATTATAAAGATATAAAAAGTCAACATGTGTCATAGCGTAAGTATCAACATGTCTCTTTTTCCTATTAGAAGGTAACATATGGACAATCTCATCAAATCTTCATTCGTAATTAGAAAAATTCTAATAATCAAATATTTTTCTAATCTTTATCAGATTATAACAGTCCATAGTTTAAAAAATCTCATAAAATACTATAAGTTATTTATATGCCCATATTTATTAAAAAACAGAGTATATATAAAAAAAATAGAAAAGAAAAAGTAGCAATTTAAAAGAAAAATTCCTTTCAATTAAATCTAAAAGGACGTTCATAAGACTCAAGAAAAAACCTCCAGAGACGTATAAAAAAAATTTAACCTTCTAGACTTACCTGTACGATCAAAATACTGAGTTAGTATAATTTCATATTATCCATGCACCACACATTTATCCAAACAGTAACTTTAGGGGTGTGTGAGGACAAAATTACCCTTCTCCCAAATCAAATCAGGCCAAGTTCAAAATGGCATTTTCGGCAATCCAACTCTCAAAATTACTGTTTAGAAGTGAATACAGCAAACATGCACATTTAGATGGATAGATAGATTAGCAATTGCGAACCCCACTTATTGAGTGGACGTGGCTTATCTAGAAAAAACTTTAACGGCAGACATCACTAACGACGTCAACTAACGGAGACCGAACCCTCCGCTACCTCGACCTTTCCGACGCCTCACGAGACTTCCTAGTTCCTCCCAACAAGGAGAGAAAGCAAGCGTTGCCGTTCAAGGCACGCCTTTACAGCTCATACCGTACACGTGTCGCGTTCTTATTGGGTTTCTCTAACGACTTAGGTCGGCAACCTCGGCTATAAATTAAGCCCCAATTCTATTTTTTTCCCTCATCAAAATCTTTCTCAAGCGCCGCGAATATCTCCGATCGTTCTCTTATCAAGGTTCGTTCAGAGATTCTATATTCAACATTTTTTTCTATTTATTTTTTGCGTTTTTTTTTCAGATCCCTAGATTTATATCTGTGGTATTTCTTAGACCCTGTTGAGATCCGTAGATTTTAGATCTGTGATTCTCCTTGGCCCTAATTTAATTGTTTGATCTCAACGATCTAGGATTCGTGTTTTTGGATTTTGGCCATGATAATATGACGATGTTGGGTCTGATGGGATTGAAATCTCCAGGAGTTGTGATAAATAATTTTGTCTTCATGGGTTTAGGGCTTTTGGTTACAATTCTAATAGATCGTCTCAATTTAAGAGATTGTTTCTGTTATTGTGAGATTTTTGTGAAATTATGATAACATAAAAAATATGTCTTAGATCTGATTGATTTGGGAACTGTCTGAACTTTTGATGGGTAATTTTTTTATGAACAAATTTTTTAAACAGACCCATTCTAACTTTTTATTTTCAAAACCGACTCTTTTTTTTTTTTTTTACCAAAACCGACCCGATTTTGTGATTAGCAGACTAATCACCTTCCTAAATAGTCGGGGTTGGCAACCCCGACTATTTAGGACATTAATTTTTAGGGTTTAATGCTTCTAATTAGGGTTTAACACCGTCCTAAATAGTCGGGGTTGCCAACCCCGACTATTTAGGAAGGTGATTAGTCTGCTAATCACAAAATCGGGTCGGTTTTGGTAAATAAAAAAAAAAGAGTCGGTTTTGAAAATAAAAAGTTGGAATGGGTCTGTTTAAAAAATTTGTTCTAAAGAAAAAATTAAGAAAAATAAGACCGACCCGGCCTCGAGAGAGCGCAGATGCAATGGAGAGGGCGATGCTAGGTTTTTCCGCCACCTGCAAAAATAAAAAAAAAATCAGGGAATAAAAATTGAAAACTCTGGGCTTTGGGCGCCATGAGAGAGAGAGAGATCACCATGAGGACTTTGGACGCCATCGGGGGAAGAGAGAGAGAGAGAGAGAGGGAGAGGAAATTTACTGAAGCTTTTCTCTCCCCTTTTCTGAGGGTGAACCGGAGGTGGAACCGGTTTTCATCGGGTCAATTTCACGAGACCGCCTGAGAGTGGGAGTCTTTTCACAAAGCACCTTAAACTTTGTTTATCTCGCATGGCCCCCTGAACTTTAAGTTGCAGCGAGAACCCCCGTGAACTTTGAAATTTTCTCATAGGACCCCTGCACATGATTTGCAAATAAATAGAATTTTTATTTGAGAGAAAAATTTAAAACCTAGAGGAGATTTTATGTTGCTTACAAATGACAAATGATATATTATGAGCTTTTCCGCTCAAAAACATCTTAATTACTTGTAATGTACGGGTAGGGGTCCGGTGAGAAAAGGTTAAGTCCATCCGGGTTTTGGTAGACACCCAAAATTTATGAGGTTATGTGAAAAAACCTTCAAAGCATAGATAGTAATTGCTAGGCGTAGAATTGAACCAATAACAAACTGTTCGACTATTATTCGTCCAGCTATTTAATGAAATTCGGTAATCTCATTTAATAGTAATCAAAATAATTTTAGTATTTTTTTCATTAACAGATAGAAACTAACCAAATACATATAAATAAATTTACAATATAGATAATTTGGAGGACAAATTTACAAATACAGATAATTTGGTGGGTGATATAACTGTAATCAAGGAAATTAAAAGTTGTGTATTGCATCTATCTATATTACTATATAAAAAACTTAGTGGGGGTATCAAAAAGTTTGAAGGACATTTTACATTCTAATAGAAATGTGATGGGTATATAGGTAATTCTACCTTCTTTTT